ATAACAAAGAAAATATAAAACAGGCAGATTTTCCCTACTAGCAACCTTTATTTGATCTATATCACCTTTAGTTGGATCAGATAACCTAACTATTTCTTGGAAAAGTTTCCCACCATGCAAATACACTTCATTTTTAAATATCTAGGACTTGCAGAATATGCTGTGTCTATTAAGGTTTTTCTTGTTTGTTTGGTTTGGTTTTTTTTGCTTTAATTCTAGACCTGTAAGACTATTGGATTTGTTTATCAATTCAATTCAGTTTAATTCTATTATCATTTAGTGTGTATCTACTAGGGAGTAGACTGACATCACCCTTCAGCCTAGTGTCAGCTTTCATAGCAATTTGTGTGTGCTTCCATAAAAGAAAATATAAAGTAGCAACTTTATATTACTTGATTATTGATTGAACTTTGATTATTAATCAAAATATAAAGTAGCAATTCAGATTAATCAACTCAAATTAATCAATTTGAAGACTTCATGCCCATGTTAAAATGAAACTTTCCAGGTCCTTTAGGGTAGGAGATGTAATTTTGTTCAAATATTTTAATCTAAATAACTTTAGTTGGGTCAGACAGTTCCTCGGAGTCCCCACCACTCCTTGCTATCTTAGAACGGATTTGCTTCACCCACTTACGTAGCTCTATCTAACCCTTGCAAGCCTTTGAGTTTCAGCCCTGGAAGAATCTAATCACTTCATTTTATAACGAGAAAACTAATGCCCACAGGGATTAAATAACTTGGCCAAGGTTACCCAGGTAGTTAGTGGCACCAAGCCAGAAGCAAAATCGAAGTATACTGGCCCTTTGTACAAGACACTGTATTCATTTCACTACTTTTTCTTTCTGTTTATCAGGACCTAACATTTGTCTGAAATAAAGAGCCTCTGTGTGTGTGTGTGTGTGTGTGTGTGTGTGTGTGTGTATATTTTAGTTTTAAAAACGGCATTGTGGCACTTACAATTTTTATTCATATCGCAAGTTTCAAAATCTCATTAATGGATTAAGCACTTTACTACATGCTGTTTTGGCATTTGCACTACGCCCCCGCCTTCCACTGCCTTTTAGCTGTTCAGAGAGCTAGTCAAGGGAGGAGGGAGTTATAAAATTATGAAAGAGAAAAGAATGAAGGGCTTAGAGAGGTGAACAGGAATGGGAGGTGCGGTGAGGGGGTGATCAGAGGGAACAACTAGAGGAAGGACAGGGAAGAAGGATAAAGGGAAACAGTGGTTCCTGAAGACCAAAGATAGGAAGAGTTGAGAAATAAAGACAGCTAGGTCATCAATCATTGTTCTTTTAGGGAATGTGTTGATTCTGGCAGATTTTTCCTTAGATTTGTGTAGCCAGCGCCATACAAAACTGTGAAGTAGGCAAAGCTTGTCTTGGAATTCTCCTTTGTACTTTCTTCCATTCAACTCTATTAAAAAACACAGTGTTCTTTCTTCTTTCTGTGGTCCATTCCAGGTTGAAAACTGCCTCTCATTTGACGCCTTAGTTGTAAGCCTGACTCTCTCCTGGAGTGTTTATATTTGAAGTCCTATCTTTTAGTTGTGGAGTACAAGAACCTCTCTGAAAAAGATCACTTACATATCAGTGAGCTGAGAGGGGAATTATTTGAAAGATGAAGGGATCTTTCCCAGAGTATCTCTAATTTCAGAACCTACTCCACCTTTATGTAAGGTGCACTTTGTTCATATCCAGCCTAATTTCTAAAGCATCCAGCACACTCCTTTTCCTTTCTCAAAGCCCTAAGTCAAGTTTTTAATGGACAAGAAGGGTACAGAAAGTCTGAGAAGGTAATGACAATCACCAAACAAATAGTACATCCTTATAAAGTTAACTAAGCAATCAATGAAGCATCAATGAAGACATTACCACACAAAATTGGGGTTCTCTTGCCTGATATGCATTAAAAAAACAATTAATTATGGCATCAGCTTTTGGGGGAGAAATCAGCTTTATTCTGCGAGATTGATCTGTAAGGAGAAGGGGACATGTGCCCTCAGATCTGTCTCCTGGACTCAGGATTTGGGGCAAAATTTAAGTGGTTACGGAAACAGATTGGCATGCGGAAATGCTGGTGGGACAGATTTTGATTGGTGGGCTTCCACCATTTATGGTAAGGTTCTAAACATTTATGACAGCATTCTAAACTTTTATGATGAGTTTCTAAACTTATATGATAGGGTGGGGAAGGAATTTTAACACCGGATCTTCCTGAATGAGGGACTCCTCACTTCTGATAAGAGTCTGACTTTTAAGTTCCAGTCGTGTTCTGATCCTTTGGTTTCATGCGGAGGAGGATCTTTGGTTCCATTGTCATTTCAGGTCAAGAATTCTCCTTCTGCGCATACTCTGGCTACACGACTTTGCAGATTTTCTGAAAGACAATCCTTAATCACTTTGTTGATAAGAGATGGGGTCTGCTCCAACTGGCTCTAAGTGTGCCTGTGGTTACAAAGATGCTCAATAGAAATAAGCAGATATAACCCCAGGTTTATATTCAATTATCTGGGTAATTTAAGGGAAAGTAACATTTCTCATCAATTATCTACTTAGTGATTCAGTAGCGATGTGGACCTTAATTTAGTATTTATGAACAACATCTTATCTCTCTTCATAATTGAGGGTAGAAGAAGCATTAGTAAAACAAGCAGAATTTCCATAAATTAGTAAACTGAGGTGACTAGAAAGTTGATTGCTAGAATCAAAATCATAAAGGTCAGTGGAAAAATAGAAACTTACCCAAACCTTCTAGATTCTGGAGCTAGACTGCTCATTTTCAAATTTGGGTTCTGCCCTTGGCCTCAACTCCCCATCTACAGAATGGAAATTATAACATCGACTTTACAGGGTTGCTATGAGGATCAAGCTAATTTAACACTTTAAAGTGTTTAGAACTGGGCTTGGCACTCTTTAAGTGCATGTTAAATAAAATACTGTAACTATCCGTTCTTTTCTGACTCCGAATACAACTAGTTAGGTCAACAAAACAACCTCACAAATCTGACGTATAATTCAAGTTGACATTGAATGTACACATCTACATCCAGTTAACTCCTTGCCTTGAACATGGCGCAAATGAAGAAAAGTTATTTTAATTTGTTGCACGGATACAGGCTTCAACATTTCAAAAATGCATTTTCTTTGAAAGGAAACTGAACAGCAGAGTGTGCTTGAGGCGTCGCTTCTTGATAATGTTACGTGTATAAATGACAGAAAGCATGGTTTTGCCTTCAAAGTCCATAGTGCTCTTTTTCAACAGCTTTATTGAGATACAATTTACATATGATACAACTCATCCTGTCAATAGCAATGCTACTGTTTATTAATTGGCTATTATGTCCCAGGCAATAAACACGTTGTTTCATTTAATCTTCATAAAAATCCTGTAACGATTTTTACTGTCCTCAATTTTATGACTAAACTAAAAGTTAAGAACTTTGCAGCTAGAGGTTGAGATGAGGTTTGAACACACGTTCATATGACTCCAATATTCTTCCCATATCATGCTGCCTCTCTTTGGGAAATTAGTTTGCTCTCTTTCAGAGGCTGGGTGGGAAAGGGGGGAAATGTGACCCTCCGATGGTATTCATGGTAAGAGAAACTCTAATTTCTTAACCCGTCAGAAGTCAAATAGTACAAGAAATAGCAGTAACTAGAAACTGTTTTCAGATTCTCAAATCAAGGATGACATAATACAAAATAGTATTATTTTGAAAAAAATAAGCAACTATAACGCTGATACATACAAATCATAATGCCAACAAACACTACTGTAAATTGGAAGGGTTCAGGACTTCGTACTAGCATAATTACACCCATCTTTACTGCATTCCCACCAAATGAGCTGAGGCAGACATTAAAATGGGGAAACAAGAGAGATCATGCAGGAATTCTTAACCATCTTTTAGACTTCCCACATCATCTATGTTATCTTAATAGAGTCAAATCTCTGAACATCTTCATGTTGCCAAAACTCATTTATTAAACAAACATTTAGGTGGTTCTTACATGTTAGGCAGCACTGTGCTAGCCACCGGCTGTACAGAGGTTAAAAAAAAAATGGATCCAGTGCAGCCCGGTTTACATTTTAGTTCCTATTTTCGCAGGGAGAGGTAGTGAGTGTGCTGTAGCGAACAGATAGCACGTGGGCTTCGGAAGCTGGGGTATAAACTTGCCTCTCCACTTACGGTATGACCTTGGCATTTGATTTTTGAGAGACTCGATTTCCCCATTTGTAACGTAACTGGCTTCAAATAGCTGGTGTTATTATCTAGTTTCAGGCGCACACACCACGGGGAGTTGCGGCCAAGAATACGTCGCTTTATGACATCGAGGAGAAAGGGTTTCTCGCGCGTTTTCTTCCCCTTCGGTACTCGGCATCATTCGATACCTATCTGACACCCTGTCCGCCGAGGAAGTGGGACGTGTTTTCACCGCGGTTGGCGGTCTGGGTGTGCCTGGGGAGGCGGCACAATGACCTGTGGCAGGTCCCCCCACAGCAGGAGCAGGAGCGCTGGAAGGAGCCCAGGAAGGGCACTGCGGCCAGGCGTTCGGTTTCGGATCGTTCTTTGTTTGGGCCAAGATTCAGCGAGCTCGCACGAAAAGCCCAGAGTCACGGAGCTGTCGAAATGTTCTGCCATGTCCTAGCGTCCCCACGCCCCCGCCCCACCCACCGTGAGCGTGAGTGAATGCGCAAATAAGGGCGTTCGGGCGTCTGTGGGAAAGAGGGAGGGGAGGCAGAAGTCGAGGACGGACGGGGCGGTAGCACCGCTCGAGCGGGAGCGGACCGGGGCCCCACGGCGGAGAGTTAGCGCCGGGCGGGCCGGGCCGAGGAGGCCGAGGCGAGCTGCTGGACGGGCGGGGGCCGGTGGGGGGCAGCAGACCACAGCAGCGCGCTCAGCCCGCCCCGGGGCCGACTCTTGTGCCGAGGCGCACCCCCCACCTTCCGGCTCTTTTGGTTTCGACCTGCCGGCTGGGCGGGGCCGCGGGACGCCATTCCCACAATGCTCTGGGGCGTGCCGCCGCCGTCGCCGCCGCCTCCGCTGCCGCTAGTGGAAGAAGATGGCGGAAGGCGGAGCGGCGGATCTGGACATCCAGAGGTCTGACATCGCGGCTCTGCTCAAAACCTCGCTCCGGAAAGGGGACACCTGGTGAGGGAAAGGGGCTGAGGTGGCCGCGATGGCCCGAGGATGGTGGGGAGCAGGGCGGGAACTGCGGGCTGGTGTCTTTCGCTGGTGACAGGTGCGGGCAGGTCCGGCGGCGGCCGCTCTGGGCAGCAGGATTTTGGCCACTCCCGAAATGTGGGGGCAAAGATTGGACTCGAGATGAGGCCCGGGGTTGGTGGCCTGTCGGGGCGTGCTGAGAGGCTTGCGGGGAGCGGCGGCGGCGGCTCCTGCGGTTCTCCCCGTCCTCCTTCCTCCGGAGTGCCGCTCCCACCCCGGGCCTTCCCGGACGATGGGCTCCAGCCGCTCGGCGTGAGTCCCTCAGGGTTTGACAGGTCCCGGTGCCGCGGCGGGTCACGGGCTCACCGGCTTCGCTCCTCCAGTCGTTTCCTTTGCCGGCCTCGTCGGCATCCAGCTTCCCTGTTATTCGGATTCTTGTATTCTTCCGGGAGGCAGGCTGCAGGATGTTTGCGGCTCGTACTACACAGGTGGCATGTGTCAGGGCGCCACTTCAGGGAAAGAAATCCTAGTTTCCAGTTCCTTGTCAAAAGGAGGGAGAGGAGTAGGGAACCTCGGGCTGCTGAGCGATACCACGTGGTCTTGTGCTTTAGTGGAGGCTCGAGAGAAACCGGTAGCGTTTCTCCTACAAGTGCAGTCCTTCCCTCCTGTTTGAGGGATAACGTAGGCCTGCAAAAAGTAGATAAGTCCGCTTGAGGCTTAAGTCTCTTGCCAGTATTCAAACTTGTAGAGTACCAAAGGATATACTTAAAATACTGAAGGAGATATGTGGAGATTTTAATATTTGTCGGCCGTATCAAGTGGTATCCAGTATAACTTCGATGTGTGAATATGTAACATAAAGGGAAGGTGCTCTATTAGGAAAGATAATGTGCCTCTTTGTTATAGTAAAAATTATTTTCCCTTCCCAGTGTCACCGTAACAGGGGTATATAGTTTACAGTATTTTATCATGTACTCCAGTATGGCTTGGTGGAGGGAGCATAAGACTTAGACCTGAGTCAGGCCACCGTTCCACCGCTTAACTTGCAGTATGACTTTGAGGAAAGTTAATTTAAATCATTGCACCTCGGTATCTTCATCTATGAAATGGACAATAATAATTTCATTATAGGGGTTTTATCTACATTCAGTGAAGTATTCTAAAAGATTTTTCTATTTATCACATTAGAATTTAGGTACCTTCTTATCACCACCATTTACTTCTAGAAAAATGCCCTGGGATTGGGATAATTTTCAAGTAAGCTAGTAGATGGCAGACTTGGGACTTGAATTGAAGTATTTTGATCTAAGTCTTGGTACTTTTTTCCCCACTTCATTGGGCTGCATACTATGTTTATATGATAAAAATCTCTAAGGGTGTAAGCATATACTTGTTGCATTACAGCAAAAAATATGATTTAATAATCGTTATTGTTCATATTGGAGTGTTCCTAAGATGTTTGTTACTGTGGGGAAATTGGACATTTCCTATGACATTTACGTTTACGACACATGTTTATGTTGGCCTGTGGGTTGTTAAAGAGGAAATCAACTCTTGCTTCCTATTGTTTGTTAAAGAACACTTAAAAATTCCTAATTCACCTACCCTATTAACACCTCATGAAAAGACAAATGTGGATTTCCGTAAAATAGAAACCTGTAAGTTTAAATCTGGGTATGATTTATATGGATATTGCTTCTCTCTAATGTTATGTTTTTGGTATACTGAGTAATAATTGGTGTTGTTGACATTACAGGATGATAGGAGCAATTTGTGTATTGTCGGCATTAAACTTTTTAAAGTTTGGTATTTTTCAAATGAAAGTCTTTTCGCTTTTTGACAGAGTTACTGTAAATCATTTTAAAGATCTATTTTAGAGATTAAGTAAATACAGGAAGTCCGTAAATTTGAGTGATTTCAGTGCTTTCATTTTAAAGAAAAGGAAACTGAGGCTCAGATATTTATGTAACAGCAGAATGTGCAAATTTTTACCCTCATGCTGATTTCCCCTCCTATTTAAAGGGAAAAAGAAAGCAGGAATGAGATGGTACTGGTGAGTTGGAGAAACCAGTTTGGTTTATATGTGAGCCACTTGCAATTAGCAGGTGAAACTAGTCAAAAAAAGAAATAGTGTAGAGTAAAAGTTTGATTCAGAGTTTTAAGGAAAGTAATTTGGTAACTACAAATTTGACAGTGTCTTCATGTGTACAGAACTGGTAAAAATATTTAATAATTTGGTTGTTGAGCTCATGTTTTTGGAACTCTTTAAAAAGTTATTTCTCTTTTTAACGTCTTTAAAAAAAGTCTCTGGATTAGTCATTTCTGGGTCTTTTGGCAAATCCTATCTGTTATTTTATAGCTGAAATGGGTCATATGCAAATGGAACATTGTCTTGGTATATATATATATATATATACACACGTATATATAAAACCATCTTGGAAAGACTGATTGGTCTATTTAAAAAACTGGTAGGTTAACCATAAGTTTACTCTTGGAAGTTTAATACTGATGTTTTAATGTTATAGTAAAATGCATTAAAATGAATAAATTTCGTTAATTAGTTTGTGAGCACTTTTCAAATAAGGACTGTCTTGTAGTGCTCTGGTAACTAACTCTAACATCTAGGCAAGGGTAAAAATTTGATTCTGCATGAATATTAGAGTTTCTGTTTATTTGTAAATAGTGAATGATTTTTAGCTGCAAACTGACTTTCTAGAGATGAAAATAAGTTACAAAGTCTGAGATGAGGAAGAACAAACTTTATGATATGCTTGGTACTAGATTTTATGGTGACAGAAAAGTCAAAACTGAGGCAAGAGAGTTATACCTCTTAAAAAGGTGAGGTATGAAAGTAACACTGATCTCCATTAGAAAGAGTAAAGCAGTACTCGCGTGATGCTGTTTCTTGATCTGTGTTTCAACTCCAAGGAGAGATTCAGAAAACCATGAACAAGATTGTTAGAATTTAGGAACTACAGAAAAAGAATCAAGGAACTAGAATTGTTTAGTTTAGGATTAATGAAAGATAACTTAATCTTCAAATAACATGGTTCTTTTTCTTGATGAGACAAAAGGAGAATTTGTTTAAAGTACATTACATGTAAGTATATCAGGGATAGAGGAACCTATTTAAGGGGATAGTAGTTAAATGAGTTACAAAGACGAGTTGTGGGTTATGGACTACTCTCTTTGGAGATTTCTTTTAAAATAGACCTATTATGAGTAAATAAACGGATAACTGCAAATCATCAAAATCACTGCTTTGTTTCCCTATTTTTATTAAATGTTATTCATCTACCAATCATTTTCACTAATTTTTATGTGCAAGTATATTCAATGGTAACACATAGCTAACTTTACAAATTAAATTTTGTGTGCCATTTTTGTATAAACCCTAATAACTCTAATAGGTTTAAGGTAGCTTGGGAGAGTAACTTTTATTTGTATTTAGAGTCATTTAAAATGTGTATAATGTTTTTGTTTCAATAAATTGCCAAGAAATAGTCCATAAGATCAGTGAGCTTTTTAGATAGGAGACACTGATTTCAGTTTTAAAGCTTTCCTTCCATTCCTACTTTTTTCCTTAGAAATCTTTGAGACTTTGTTTTATGTGGCCTCTTATGTCTGTGCAACTTTGATTCACACTAACAGAAAATAACCTTATAATCACAAATCAGTTAATGATGTAAAGGGACACTATTGATCAATATGAACTCCAAATTGTTTGGTATATACTTGCTAAAGAAATTTTTACATTACTATTACTGTTAAAATTAATTTTAGTTGTGCCAAAGTGTTTACCACTAAAACAGGGTGTATGTTACATCATTTGCAGGAAATGAAACCAGAAAGCAAAACTGTTTTTTAATGTTGGTAAATTCGTGAAAATAAGGACAGAAATAGTGACATTAAAGCGTATTTTTCACACTTTAGTTGCTTAAAATCTAGAAAAGCAACTTTTCTGTATTTGAGCTTTTCTATAAGTTTTTGAATCACTTCTAAATTGTTAGTAAATCCAAGATTAACGGGCCCTTTTTGGCCAAGAAGATGCAGAGCTTTAGTCAGTGATTTCATTTGTCTGTTTAGTAACATTCAGGCTTAATTTTTTTCTAAATCATCTCATTTTCCCATTAGCATGCAAGGTATTAAATAAGTGGTTTTTTTACAGAATAGTTTTGTGACACTTATTAATCTTGCACATAAGTGTAATAGGAAAAAATTACTTTGTCAGACAGTGACCTATATTACATTTAATAACCCTATGTGCTGGGTACTGTTTTAAGTACTTACATATGTTAGCTTATTTACTCATCACCACTATTCTGGGGCACTAGAATGTGAATGTACTGTGATTCACATTTGACATAATAGGAATCCTAGGCTCAGAGAGGTGTTCACACAGTGGTATATCTGGGATTTGAACTCAAGCAGTCTGGGGCTTTAATTCAAACCCTAAAAATCACTGTACTACACTACCTCTTATTTTAAAGATGCATTTTAAAATGTAGTTGCACTTTAAAAAGAAAAAAATGGACATTTTTTCCTTTAAATGGAGTCTATTTTATATTTAGCGGCAGAATTCTACCATTTTATCCCACACGTCTCTTATGACTATTCAGTTTAGATATGATAGAATATGTAGAAGATTTTAACATCTTGCTTCTGGAAATTAAAATATGTTTAAAGATTAATAGGTGATTAACTGAATATGTAGAATAAATGTTATTTTGATCCAAAAGTACATTTAAACAAAGGAAACTGGGATCACTTATTGTTGAGATTTTGGATTTTAATTGTTTATTGGTGATCATAAGGTTTTATTAGAGGCCATATGGCTCCTTCTGATATGGTTTTACAGAAATAACACATCAAGCAGGTAGTAAGAGCTTGTAGGATATTTTGGTTTAGTACTTTGCCCTTATTTTAAAAGTGTTGGTTTATAGTAAGCTACAAATACATAAGGCTTTTTTTTTTTGGACTATGAC